AGGAAAGGACAAGAGTCCTTACAATTCTGGGTCCGGCTGTGTGTCCAGGAGGTGGCTTGGCTCCCAGTCTCTCGGCTGAAGCAGGCGTGTTTCTGTCACCCTGACAGCTGACCTGCCCACCCCACCCCCAAAACAAGCAGGCCCAACAAGCAAACGCTGAACAAACAAAATATTCCTAAAGCCAACTTTACAACCAACACCTCGGCCACTTCACCGCTCCCCTAGACAGACCCTTCCAATTTCAGTCGTATAGAACTTAACAGAAGCTCCAGTTCTCACATTTCACATCAGCGTATCAACCAGAACAGAAATAGCAGTTTCTTCTGTGTGCAAACAAGAAATTAAATATCGGTTTCTAATTTCGCAGTTCTGTCACAAAGCCCATACATTATGGGAAACGAATGTTTCTAATTATGATGGAATCTAAACCCACTTTAGACTTAAAACTGATCAAAATATTCCACAAATATCATTCCAGATGTCATTAAAACACCATCACGGGAAAAAATGGGCAAATTACACATAAATTCAAATCTTGACACTGGCAGGTACTGAGCTGAATAATATGAAATGCTTGTGCCTCAATACTTAAGAGTTTAGCGTGGAGGGGAAGATATACATGTGAGCATTTCCCTTGTTTTTAAATTTATCTTTTGTTAATACTTCAGTGTTTTGATTTGCCACAGTCTGAATTTTCCAAACTTTCTAGTCTCAGGTAGACTTCATGAAGTGCTGCCTGAATGAGCAGTGTCACAAATGGCTGACACTTCAAAATTCACAAACTCAGTGGTGAAGTATTAACCAAGACGAGCCTGGTCAGGGTCAAAGGCAAAGAGCCGACTTGGCGTCCATCCTCCTGCTCTGAGAAACGCTGGTCTATTTATAGCTCCATGCGCAAGTAGCTGCAGGAGGCCTGTAGCCAGAGGAGCGGTGCAGGAGAGCAGCTCTGGGGCTGGGCTTGCTCAGGCAGGTTTCCTGCAAGAGGGCAAACAGCAGCCGTCTGGTGTCTGCTTGCCCCCAAAACAGGAGCAGGGATTTGGCTTCTCATTCACAACTTTCTTTCACCGGCCCAGAGAAGTATCACCAGAAAATATTCACTCCTACAGCTCCAATACGTAGGGCGCTAGAGAGACCAAGTTCTATCAAAATAACTGATTCATTATTGCTTATTTATTGCTAGGAAACTGGAAGTTGTGAGATTCCCATCAAGCATTATAAACAGCCACCTCATTTTAAGTTTCTAGTGTCTGCTGCCTGCCACAGTCAGCCCCTGACATCCCATCCTGCCCGCACCCTGGAGGTCCGGTCACAGCCCCAAAGGCCCTGAAGCGATAAAGCAACCTCGTCACAACACCCTTCCTGTGACTTGTTCTCGCCTCTGGAAACTCCAATTATCAAAATACAGAAAGCAAACACACCGACACTGAGCAGCAAACGTGCGGATTCACTACTAGTCTCCCTCACCCTCCCAGGTCACTAACACACGGAGGCAACAACCTGTCAGGGCCGGACCTGGAGGGCCAGGGCCAGGAAACCCGATGGGCTGGGAACACCCACCTGCTGCTCACCAAGGCTGGGAGCACTTTGGCGTTTGCCTCTATGGACTTGACTTTGGCCTTTACACCCACCATAACCGAATGTCTAGTTCAGGATGGGTGAAATTGCAGGGCTCGAGAAATGAGATCAGACCTGCCTCACACACGACTGTCCTTTTACATAATCCAGTCACAATTAGACTAACCCTGTGAGATGCCTATGAAGGCCACACGGACTGCTAACCATCCAGTGTTTAACCCAGATGAGCTGGAAATTAAAGCTACCAGAAGGAACCAGCGAAACTGAAGACCTAGTTGTTGACGATCTTCATAACCTCGGGACAATAATGATTACTTAAACCCAAAGTTAAAAGTTCATCACTTTAACACTGTAACTTTTGCAGAAATCACTATAAATGAAATTAAAAGGCAAGTGACTATTGACTATGAGAAAGTGTTTTGCATGTATTAAATCAATCCAGATCAAATAAATAAAACCCACAATCAGTATGAAAAAATAACAATGGAGGAAAAAGGGCAAAGATTAAGGTATACAAAAAGAAGTCCAAATTACCAATTATATTTTTTAAATGTACATCTTCTCTAGTTAACAGGGACTTGCAAATTAAAATGAGATGCTGTTTCTCATCCAGATTGGCACAGATTTTGAGGAATGGATTGTTCAAACTAGACAGGATTTAGTGGATATTGGATTAAATGAAATAAAGAACCCAGACCACAAAAGCAGCTACTTTGAGACACACACCAAGCATTCCTGTCACCTTTAGTGACTTGTCTATGTGCATCCTAATGACAGGTGTGCAAAAGAAAACTATAACTGTTGTATTTAGAACGAAAAATCACTTCAAAAAATAACTAGCCAGTATATAGTAAAACTGCAAATCTCACAGCCCACGAACCCAGCAACACTACTTCTGGATATATTCCTTAGAGAAAATTCCAAATTTATCTGCGTACAAGGAAACATATGAAATTGTTTGCTGTCACCCTGTATATAACAAGAAAAAAGTAAATAAATGAATACACAAGGCCTCTTCAAATTATGAACCATCACATAGCATTTAAGACTGAACTAGACTTAAAGGTATTTACCTGGACAGAGCTTAAAAACACAAGTTGACGGGGGGGAAAGTAGATACACGGTACTTGCAGTATGATATATTTCTAAAATCAAACCACACGACACTGTTATACCTTGAGGATGTCACAGGTGCACAAATACAAGCAAACTCCACCCACAACAGTGGCTGCTTTCCCGGGAGTGAGAAGCACAGGGGTCATCAGTAGGGCCTTGAATGTCAGCTGAGACATTCTCTTGAAAAAAAAGTTGAGAAATCAAAAGCAAATATGACAGAAGACTCAAATGTTATTTATTGGAGGTGACAAGGAATATGCCTGTTTTACCATTTTTGTCTTTCATTTTTTAAATTCTTCCAGTGAAAACTCTCCTAGCTGTCAGGCCACCTTGGTAAACAGAGGCCTTGATTCTCCTGTCGCTATGTCTGCTGTCCCAGGAAAGCAGAACTGAGAACTGCGGCAGAGGGAAAGGCAGCACTGAAGAGTCCCCTTATGTCTGCCTCCCAGCACCCTTCTGCATCTTCAGGAGGACTTTTTATATTTCCATTAGCAATTGTAAGAATCTGCCCTGAGCTGTAACTCCAGTTGATTTTACTCTGTGGCAAATCTCTGAGCTTTCTGACTACATAAAAGTCTTCTGTTACCCTCTGTTCCTAGAATGTTGATACATACCTTACAGTTTCCCCAGAGACGACCCTGGAGACTACCACACAGCTGACCCTGGAGACTACCACACAGCTTCGGCAGACTGACGCAGAAGCGCCTCAAAGCACTAAGGGATGTCTGTGATCAATCTGGGCCTCACAGGTGTACAAAATGCAAAACAAAGCAAATGAAAAGGTAGAACTCTTTGCCTCTGTTTTAAAATGTCAAATGAAATTCACTTGCCACATACATGACAAAAGGTTAATATTACTAACATTCAATGAGCTTTTACAAATGTGTAAGACAAAAATAAACTCCCTAAGAGAAAAAGAGACCAAAAAATCACAAATCACAAATAGGGAACTCAAACGAGGAGAAATAAAAACGTCCGAGAAGCATCATAACCAAAGCACTACCATTTAGGTGGTGAGGGCTTCACCTGCTTTGTCTCATTTACCCGTCAAAGTCACCCTGTGGGAGCAGCACTTCACAGTGACACACGGGAAGGTGAAGCAGCAGAGTCCATGATCTCACAGCAGATAAACACTGATGACAAATCTGGAGCCTGGTCCACAGAGCTTTGTGGCAGAGAGAAGCTGAGTGGCTGATCCTCCTCTGGGGAGGAAATAGGGAAAGAGGCCTTCTTATGCAGGCTTCCTGGGGGGTGCCAATACCAACAACTGAGCAATGAGTATCTAAAGTGTTACTAATGTGCACACCTTACTGCCCACATGCCACTTTGGGAAGCACACCCTGAGAAGATAATCTCAGAAGTTGTAAAAGGTAGGTGTAAGTCCCATAAGCTCTTATGAAATGCACAAAGGCAGGCTTGACAGCACTGTTTATAACAAGGAAAAACTGCAAACTTAGAAGTCTATCAGTAAGGGGCTAGTGCATGCATAGTCAGTGGAACACTATGAAGCTTTTTTATACTAAACCGTCTCTAAGAGACCATAAACGGTATGATCCCGTTAAGTAAAAACTTGACGTGGCTCTGCATGTGAATACGGAGAGAAAAATGTTTTCCAAAATTTTATGAGTGGCTTATCTTTGATTGCAGGTATCTCCGATTTTCCCTTTCTTCCCTTTGTGGTCCTTCGTTGTTTGATTTTTCCCTTGCCTATCCTTTTTACCAATATGGGAGCTTATTGAACGTCAGAGATCGTCAACGTTTAAATGCAGACAGCCTTGAACTTTGGATTAAGTAAACATTTCGTCCTGGAATTTGTTACAAAACTACTCACTATCTTCACTTCGGCCACCAGCATCCCTAAGCGGGGCATCCCCACCGCCTCACAGAGCAGGTCCTCGCCCTCAGGAGACCCTCCGAACACTAGGGCTCCCTCGGCTCCCCTAACTATTCAAGTTCACCCTCAAGCGCGAGTCAGCTCCGCCCCCACGGTCTGGGGACCACAGACGTCAGCTTGCTCCCTGGCCTAAACCCAGCCCCAGTTCGCGTCACTGCCCTCGGCGTCCAGGTCCCGCAGCCAGGGGACCCCTCACCCTCTCTGAGCACCTCACGCGGGCAGAGCCCGGTCCGCTGCCCATCCGGGAACCCAACCGCGCGGGGGCCCTGCGCCAGAATCTGTGGCAGGGCCCCGGGGTCACCCCCACCCCCGGCCAGGACCCTCCCCCTGGGTCCCCGATCTGCGGCAGGACCCCTGCCAGAGCCCCTCCCGGGCCAAGCCCCCTCCAGGCCCAGGCCCCGCCCGGGGCACTCACCCTCCCGGCAGCGCCGCCTCCAGATGGTGTCTGTGTGCAGGATGCGCCGGAACTTGGTGCAGACCTGCGCCAGGCTGGGCAGGTCGGTACCGGGCAGAGAGCCGAAGATCTCCACCAGCAGCTCGGGCGGCAGCTCCAGCAGGGAGCAGCGCGGGGGCGACGAGGGGCCAGCACTCCGGCCGCCCCCCGCCCCGGACAGCGCCGCCGCGCCCGCCTCGATGCGCTCCTCCTCGGGGTCCGTGTCCGGCTCGCTGTCGGCCGCTGCCGTCTCGGCCGGGCCCCGGCGCTGCTGGCGGCGCCGGCATCCCCGCGACGGGCCCACGCCGCAGAGACGAGCGCACACCGCCATGCCGGCGACTGACGGCCGT